TTTACTACAAAGACATGGCTTTTCATTATAGCTAGCTCCTGTCCCTCATTGCCCCCACCTCATTTGTTAGTTTCTTTCATCTATTATGTCTGGTCTTAAACTAAGGCCCCAGTCCTGCAACTGCACCCAGGCAAATGGAACTTTCTGGGTATGTCTACACAGCAAAGAAAAACCCCACAGCTGACTCAGGCTCAGGCTATGGGCCTATTTCATTCCTGTGTAGACTTCCAGGCTCAGGCTAGAAACCAAGCTCTGGGACCCTCCCACCCCACAGGGTCCTAGAGCTTCGGGTCCAGCCTGAGCCCGGAAGTCTACACAGCAATGACACAGCCCCACAGCCCAAGCCCTGGGAGCCCGAATTGGCTAGCATGGGCAGATCTGCGGGTATCTAGTTGCCGTGTAGACATACCCTTTGTCTACAATAGCCCCACTGACTTCAAGAGGGCTCCATACAGCAACAGATCTAGCCACAGGATCAGGGCCTATAACTGTAGGTTCTCCAGTGTCAGGACTATCTTTACAGCACCTAGCACAATGGGGCCCTGACCTAGTTGTGGGGTCTCTCGGTGCTATCAATAGTAAACAAATAATTTCTGCTTCACAATCATTATGCTTCATATGCACAGCTCAATACATTGCCTAAACGCCATGTAGGCACTTCCAAACCCACATGCAGCAAGCAATACTACATTTTTTTTTTCACAAGAGAAAGTCTTCAGATATGACTATCTTTCCTATGGAAGGAAAGGGAATATTTACTCCCTCAAACAATATTCTTTAAGGAAAAGCTCTGTAGTGTTCTGATGTTGGATAGCCCCAGAAACAAGGCATGAGATCTCAACAGCTGCCAATGTTCTTCTAAGAAACAGCAATACCACAAGGCAAGTAGCTGATAGAGTATATAAGATGAGTCAATCTTGGACCTCCCACGTCATTTTTTTTTTAAGAGTTAGCACTCTGAGATTTCCATGAGTTTGTAAGATGTTCAAGTTTTCAGCAAGGGAAACCATTTACAACTTGTTTTGTTCAAGAGGCTTGTTGGCAATGAAGTCCTTTCTTCCTTGGTACAGCCAATTTAAACTGAGCTGACAAGTTTAAGACTACATATTAAGACAGAAAAATGTCACCATTGTTTGGTAGCAGATTGAGCTGAAAGTTCAGTGGCTATAGTTACCGCCCTCTAAATCATGAAAAGGCAGGTTATGAACTGCAGAAGGCTGAGGCCAACAGAGCTTCCCACAGCCACCTGATATATACGAAATAGCCCAGGCTGATGAAGTAGCTCCATGGTATTCTTCTAATACATTATAATGATGTGACTTAGAAGATTGAAATCCTTGTGTTGCTACAGGAAAACATAGCTGTGAACTCTTGGGAAAAAAATATTTTTTTTGAAATGCCAAAGGGAGAGTTTAGTCCAGTAGATCAGACTTACAGGATAAAGCTTTCAGTGTAGTGCAGGGAGTGTGATATAACTGTGTATAACTCTTGCTGAAGTGAGAGGGAGTACCCAGCTAACAGCGCCCCATCCTAAAAGACAGACTGTATAATGCCAAAAAGTTACTTAACATGTGAAATAAAAACATAATTTACATTTGTAACATTGTTACTGTAACTTACAGTTTCTCTTGAATATATAGCTGATGAAATCACACCCACATCTCATTGATACCTGCTTTAAGTGCAAGGCTCTGCACTGCCTCAAATATGAGTTGCTATTGATTCCTATATGAAACCCACTGACAAATGAAAATTTCCAACAAACACAAACTTCACTGAGCAAGGCCAAAAGTATAAAGTAAATAACAGAGGTGGGTCTGAAAAAGATCTGGAAACATGTCCTGGCCCCCAAAGCTTGGGGGTGTCTTGATCAGCCCATGAGAAAGAGAGTGAGAGAAAGAAGAAAGCTGCACAGTGTGGATCCTGAGTTAGATTCAAACCCACAAACCCAAAGTTCCTCCATATGCTGGATGTTTCAAAACTGGGATTTTGGCTCAGGCCCATCTCTAATAAACAATGCACGTAATGGACTAGGTCTCTGGTCTCTCTTAAATGCTCTTTGTGCTGCTGGAGAGGCGCAATGAGGATTCGATGCTATAAGGCAGCTGCTGAGGATTTCCCTACCACAGGAAATGCTGAGCTGGTTTCAGGCCCCTCAAGCCATAAGGGGTATTCCAGGATGGGCTGGGAGTTTGTCAGAAGCAGGGCCTCTTGGAGACCATTATCCACTAATGACAGTTATTGTAGTGACAGCCTTGTTAGGCCCTGGAAGCTTCCAGAGTCTTGGGGACTGGAGGAGTTAGAACAGGGGTGGGCAAACTACAGCCCGTGGGCCATATCTGGCCCACCAGCCATTTTAATCCGGCCCTTGAGCTCCTGCTGGGGAGCAGGGTTGGGGGCCACTCCGCACAGCTCCTGGAAGCAGCGGCATGGCCCCCCTCCAGCTCCTACATGTAGGGGCAGTCAGGGGCTCTGCTCTGCATGCTGCCCTCACCCCAAGCGACGCCCCTGCAGCTCCCATTGGCCAGGAACCGCGGCCAATGGGAGCTGCAGGGGTGGTGCCTGCGGACAGAGCAGCGCACAGAGCTGCCTGGCCGCGCCTCCACATAGAAGCTGGAGAGGGGACATGCCGCTGCTTCCGGGAGCCGCTTGAGGTAAGCACCGCCCGCAGCCTGTACCCCTGAGCCTCCCCCTGCGCCCGAGTCCCAGCCCCAACCCCAATTTTGTGATCATTCATGGCCCGCCATACAATTTCCATACCCAAATGTGGCCCTCAGGCCAAAAAGTTTGACCACCCCTGAGTTAGAAAAGTGGAGTAAAGCCACTCCAAGTCCACTGAGAGTCAGACTAGATGATCTATTTATTCCTTCTGGCCTTAAACTCTATGAATTTATGACAGCTGCTTTGGCATACCTGGGTATCTAGTGGAATAACTAGTCCATTTGTCTTATAACAATGCTTTTGTACTGGATAAGCCACAAGTGGACAAGCTTATTAGCTAATGAAGAACACCCCACAATAAGCTGATGACATCCAGTTGTATACCTGATATTCCACAAATGTAACCAGTACCATTACAATTATGTCACAATGCCTACAAGAGATTAGCTCCTGGGTGAAGAGAAAGCCGGCTCAGATTGAACCCATATAAGATCACAGTGATGCTGGTCAGAAAGGTAAATGCTTCAAAGAACTAGACTGGACTTTGTCTTTCCTTTTCACTGAAGACATCCATCCTTCAAATCAGTAAAACGCCTTGGGGTCTTGTCTGAGTCATCACCAAGCCTAGACAATCAGGTGCCATCAGTGGCAAATAAAATTAAAAAAAAAGGAAGAAGGAGAAGCAGCAGCCGTTGCCCCTTGTTCCTTCTGCAGCTTGCTAGGAAGATTTTGTTATTTCTATTGTGATGATAGTGCCAAGATATCCTGATTGAGGAACTGGGCCCCATTGTGCAAGGCGCTGTACAGCCTATAAAAAGGCAGTTTCTTCCTCACCTTTTCCTCCCTGATAAGGATGTTGATGATGATCCATGCAGTGTTGTTGTAGCTGTGACAATCCCAGGATATTAGAGAGACAAGGTGGGTGAGGTAATATCTATTATTGGACCAATTTCAGAAGCTGATTCAATAAAAGATATTACTTCACCCACCTTGTCTCTCTCATGATGATCCGGGCATTCATTTCCTCCAGACTGGATTATTTTAATTTATTGTATCTGGCACCAGATATGAAAGTATTGCAGAGGCTCTATATGCAGAATATGGCGGCCCACCGCCTCAACAGGATGGGCTGATATGAACACTAGAGTGAGCCCTGGCTCCCAGATTGCCTCATTGTTAGTTTAAAACCTTAGTTCTGATCTTCAAAAAGATCAGCTGTCCAGACCCCAGCTGCATCAGTGACTTCATCTCCACTTAGAAACTGTCACAGTGCAGCTTTCAAAGCCCAGAATGAAGCTGGAGACCGTATTTACAGTTAAAAGAAATTTGTCTGTAAAATGAGATTCCAGAGTAGATCAGGCTAATCCAGAGTCTGACCATCATCTTGGCAAGCAACAAGGCTCTGCTCTTGGAGAGTAATGGTCAGGAGATTGCAAATACTCCTGTTCAAACAAAAGTCTTTGTTCATGTGCACATGCAGGCCATTTGCTAAACAGTCAGGTGAAGAAAGCATGAATGCTCATGAATGACAAAGGCCATGAAAGTGGGTGAATTGTATGGATGTTCTGAACAGATGTTTGCAAATACTGTTCTACATCATTTGATCAGCTCTAGCAATGACAGACCACAGAACATTTAGTGTGACATTTTAAAAAAAACATGCTCCCAATTTGTGCATGCAAAAATGAGAAATTGCATGTTTAACTTAGAGGAAATAGAGCTGTCCATGTCAACATATTTTCAACATGTTAAGGTAATTACCATTCTGACTCAACATCAGTAAAAATTTATTTTCAGCTGCTGTTAATTTTCTTCTTGGCTACAAAGGCTTATGTTTGAACAAAGAGGGAGAAAGAAGCTGTTAACATAGTGCAAATGAGAACACAAACTTGAAAGAACATGTATGTTAATGAGCAAGATGGCCTTCATCACTCCACAACTGCAAGGGAGAAAAAATGTCTGATTTCTTGAAAACCTGATGACAGGTTGGGTGTGCAGCTGGGAGACAATGAGGGGCATAAAACTGGGTATGCACAACACAGAATTATTTTCAGCCGTCCTTCATTTACAGCTCTGAAAATAATTCCACACAGAAACCCATAGCCCCTCACTTAGGATGATGAATTCTGAAAATGTAGGCTGAGAATCTTAAAGGAGCTTAAGGCAGTTAAATACCTACTTCCTATTGATTTTCAAAGGGGACTGGGTGCCTCACCCCTTAACACTCCTTTGAAAATCCCAGTGCTAGTTCTCAAAATCTTTCATTCTCCTCCTTTTGGAAGTTTAATGAGTAAACAGTGACATAAAAACAGCTTCTAAATTCAAGATGACTTTCTTACCTTGGATGTGGATGCTGTTTGGTTGAAAAGAGGGGTTTGTTATTGGCTGGTATGTCTTCAGATGTGTTCCAGCAGTCTGCAGGAGATGGGGAGTCTGGGGTGTCCGTCTCTGCATCATGGGAGGGGGAACTGGAATTCTCCTGGGGCTGATATGGTGGGGAGATGGAGCAGGAGCTGCAAACCTGAAAATCATGAAACAGATTGAAGTATGAAGCCTACAAAAAATAAGAGCAAAAAAAGTTTTTAATTATTTAAATCACCAAAGTGTTTTAACAATGGGCACTGATACAGATTTCTAAAAGAATAGAGTGAAGTCCTAAACACTCACAAGAGTCATGTTCCAGTTTCTCAGATTAGATGGATAAACTACACCTGATCAACAACAATGAAAACCCAGTCTGAAGCTTCTACCAGGCAAACTCCTCTTAACTTCCAGGGGAGAGGCTCAGACAGTCCAGTGATGAGGGTCACATAGATACTTAGATGGGGTACCTGACATCAGGGCCACTGCTAAATTGCAGGACTGTATTGTGGGGAGGCAATGGGATACCAGTTGACAAATGGCAGTCCTTCCTTTTTAGAAGGGCTGCAATCAGCCAATTCCGGTGCTTCTAAGGGCACAGAAACTGGTTGATGGGTGGTGGGGCATTGCCTAAAAGAAGAAATGCTGGGCAGAGGCAGTATAGGATCAGTCCCAAGTCCTTTTATTAAGTATTGTTTTCTGTTGCATATAATGCTTTAACAGCTCTTGGAAATTTTTCCACTTTATATTCAAGTATTTTGAAATAAATTATCTTAAACCAATATAAAATAGACATTAGTTTTCATAAAGATCTTGCAGTGTTAAATGATTTCAAGTGGAGATGAGCCTGAGCTTATCAAAATTTGGATCTGGATCCAATTTATGAACTCCCAAACCGTGGCCATTTCCTGAGCTAATGCTTTGATTCAGTTGGGAAAAGGAGTGCAACACTTCAGAAGATAGGGCCTAAACCATATTATTACTTCTGCTACAATAAGGGGATGGGTTTTTTACCTGGATGTATTTATGGGCTTCATGGAAGGGTTTAAAGCCACGTTAGAAATAATAACAACTACTCCTTTGAATTGTACCTGTCAAAGCTCTTTACAAAGTAGGTAAATAAAATTCTCATTGAAGATGGGAAGCCAAGGTGTAGAGAGGTTACAAGGCTTGGCTTCCTTGAGTCACATGACCATGCTTAATCCATGTTGCCTATCCAGCAACAAATAGTGTTTTCTAGGCAACAATGGAAGGAGGCTATAGTCTCACAAATAATACAGTAGGAGCTATAATTATAGTAATATTACCACAGAATACTCCTGCATAAAGTCATCACATGAGCAAGCATATTGAAATCCAAAACACCTGAGTTCTTCTGATTTAACAGAGATTTTTGTCAACATCTTCTACATGACTTGGACCATATATGGAACCCATTTACTATTTTTTGACAGATCCATAGCTCATGTTAACATTATAGCAAATTTCATAGCGAACCTTGTATGCTTTATTGCTTGTTCTATTTGCTTTCATTGAGTAGCCCTTTTGTTTCTTACTAGTTACAGTTTAGTTTGTCTCTGCATTGATTCTATATTTACATACAAACTCAAATTTATTACTAAAAAGATGTGTCTGTACAGGAGAAACTATAGAAATACAACCAGTAATGGGATAAATCATGAAGTCCTTACTAAGTAACTCAGTCTATAACATGTCACATATTTTTGCTGCTGCAGGTAACTTCTGCACTATATATTTAAAATACATGCAAAGGAATGTGGGGATGAGGTATGTGTGTTTTGCAGTAACAATTGAGGCTAACAAAAGAAGAAATATACAGTAAGTGTTTATGAAAGAAAATATAAGAGGGCTTTTAAAAAGTGCTACAACTGCAGGATTACAGGTTTCCCAAGAAAGAGGAAAGACTGGGGTTAGTTTTCTGGATAGCACTCACATAGAAAGATTATTGATTTGCTGCCAGAGATCAACAACAATGCACAGACTGGTCTTTTTTTACGTTATTATTTAAAGAATCGTGGGATATCATCCTCTGTGTTTTCAAAATTCATTTGTGAAAACTAATCAATGAAAAATGGCTTTAACTGCCAGCCAACAACAGGGAAAAAAATCCTTTTCAAAGACTTAAAATGAAAAGCACCGTTTTAAAGATTTCACATTTGATTTAACATCTAAAAAACCTTCCAAAGATAATACACCTCTTTGTATAGCTAGACAGGGATCCTTTTTAGTAGACTTTAGTAGTCTTTATAATGATTTATGAATCACTTCATGCATTCCTGGCTTACTCATATGGGTGACTATAGTATCTACATATACTTCCCTTCTGCTTCACAAAAGAGAAACTTGGTCTTGTTTCAATCCAGATTTGTCCCCGAATAAATCACAGTGTGTTACTGGGGGAACTGCAAATTTAATTTTGTTTCTAAAACAATCAGGATCAGCTTGTAACTGCTAGGAAACTGCCATCCTGAACTGTGGCCATGCCCTGCAGCCCATGCAAACAGGAATAGCCAAATTTGTAGAGAGCTGCCTTCCTCCATGCTTTCTGGGGTCTTCAAAACTAGAACTAGTATGTTCTAGGAGCCATTACGCAGTATGCCATTCCTCAGTGGGAGCTAGGAAAGGTGTCCTGTAAATGAATGATTAGATTTGAAATGGTTTCAAGATCTGATGGGGGAAACAAGATAATTACGTTATCAAAGCTTAAATGACCAGATTAATTTATACAACGTGACATGCATAGATGATTTCTAATTAGTCAATATGGATCACCAATAAATGTAATAAATGTCATGGTAAGTGTTGGCTGGACCTGGACATAATGCAAATTAAGAGTACAGTATGAGCAAACGGCTAGCAAGCATCAATACAAAAAAACAAACCACTACCACTATCACCAAGAAACCATGATTGGTATTAGTAGTTTTTTGCAAAGTGACATGCAAGACCCGACCCAGCACACTGAAAATGATTATTTGGAGGTGGTGGTGATGAGGGGGAAGTTTTTATATGTTTGGGAAAAGAATTTGTACAAGTGGTTTGAGATTCTTGGCCACAGAATTGACTATTGCGAAACTGTTTGTGTATCACAGACTCTAAGAAGTGATTTGGAGGGGAAAATCCTCATTCCTGCAATTCCACACAAAACAGAACTTTTATTGTTAATCCAGGCTGCTGGATTCCCTACACAGAACCCGATGTCAGTATTATGACTGCTATATCAATTGACTGTCCTTATTCAAGCTGGTTAGAAACAAAGCAAAAAGAAAATTCCCATTCGGGGTAAACCTGACCTCTTAAAGGTTTTTTGATGGTGCTCCAGTTCTTCATAGAAGTATTCGAAAGAAGTATTTCAAACAGTTGTCACCTCAGAATTATCCTGGCTAGTGTTCTTTTTGGCTAGCATTCCTTTATTTGATTTCACACTGCCAGTCTCAATGGGGACATGGAAATACATGACTAGCCTAATAATATTCAACATTGTGCTTAAACTGAAACCTCTCACTGAGTTTGCCTCACCTTCACTACCTGATCTTCTTGAAGTTGTCATGTCTACTGAACTCCCTTCCATGAATCCCCCTTCTCCTTCTGGTTCTGTTTTCTCTGTGTGAATCGTCTACATAGCAGTGAACTGGTTTCAGACCAATTAATCTCTGAACTAGTGGCAATGCACTGACAAGCATCGGATTGTGTATGCATTCAAATAAGGTCACAGGCATTCCCCTTGTTTCAACCAGAAAAGGGAACAAAGCAAATAATAGTTGTGCACTTTTACACAGTTTGTAGTCCAAGAGAGTCAACTGTATCCACTCAAGCGTGCACAAAAATTGCACGGATTCAGGGCAAATGGATGCCAGAACAGACTTCAAATATTATTAGGCTGGAAGGCGTTAATGGTTGCCATTGGCATGTCTGTGATCTTTAGACTACCATAGATCTGGTTAAAACTGATGAATGTGCTACCCACCCTTCATTCAGGCTAAATGGCAGAAGCAATTAAGCTCCTTTAATGGACTAAGATACCTGGAGACAATGGAAGCCACTGTCCCAGGCACTAGCCATATGGAAGGCTGACGGGACACTAAAACCCTGCTGGCTGTTTTTTTCCTGGGGACTGATTGCAAACACAGAGGCTGGGTCTTTGATTCGTTGCAGAGAGCTGAAAGCAACCAAAAAGAAAGAGAAAAGCAGCAAAAAGCACACAGAAGCAGTAGTGAGCATGGCCCTGCTCCCTGAGGCACAGGACTGGCTGGAAAGGCAGGCTAGGAAATTGTGAGCAAGAACACTGCCTGCTGTTTGTTTCTACTGTGTTCAGGGAATCAGGACTTTGTGTACTTTGTAAATAAACAGGACTGCACCAAAGAATAACCTGACTCATAATCACTATTTCTCCTAATGGAAACAACCCAGCAAGGCTCTGAATATTGGCTAACTATTCAGACCAAGGAGTAATGCTAGCTACTTACTGATCCTGGTGCTACCACTTTTCACTCCCGATTATTTTTCCTAACTCTTCTCTTCTGGTGTTAGTTCAGAGCTGGGAGATAAAAATGGATCTTCAAGTCCAAGAAAATGATAATTAATTCTAACCAGCTCTTAAACTTCTGCCTTTCACCCTGCCCAACAATTAGCTTCCCTCAAGAAGAGTTTACTGTTTGAAATATGCAATTCCACTTATTCTGCACTATGGAAGTCTTGTGGGGGATTAAAAGAGATGACAAATCAAGAATAAGTTCCTGTAAAATAATAACAGTAATAATATCTAGCTTTTATATATCATGTTTCATCAGTAAATCTCAAAGTGCTTTACAAAGGGGGCATCAGTACCCCTATTTCAAAGATGGGGAAACTGAGGCACAAAATAGTGAGGTGACTTGCCTGAGGTCATCCAGCAGGCCAGGGGGCCAACCAGTGCTCTAGCCACTAGGAAACACTTCCATTGCGTGGCCACAAAAAAGTATTTTTGTTAAAACAAATTAGTTGAAAGGCAAGGCAAGCATGCCTATTTGGAACTATTACATTGGAGGGGAAAAATGGTTCAACAATGGTTATCCATGTGAAAGTATGACATGTCATGTTATCAGGGACGATAGTGAAGATAGAGTCTATGTTGGAAGTCACTTTATCTTGACTGCCTAC